CCGTGGTCCCGGGGGCGAGGCCCAGCGGGGGCGCGAGTGGGGCTCCAGGGGGCAGCGGCGGGGCCCCGGGGGCCGGCGTGTCCTTGTGGCAGCGGCGGTGGCGGATGAGGCTGGACACGTGGTTGTAGGTGCGGCCGCACACCCCGCACTCGTACGGCCGCTCGCCCGAGTGCACAAGCATGTGCTGCACCAGGTGCGAGGACTGCTTGAAGGACTTCTGGCACACGCCGCACGGGAAGCGCCGCTCCATCAGGTACTTGAGCCGCCGGAAGTAGCCCTTGTCGTCCTTGGCCGGGTCGCAGGCAGCCCCTGTGGCGGCAGGGCCGGGCGGGGTCTGCGAGGGCACGGGGAGTGGCCCGGGGGTCCCCGCGGGTGCACCCAGACCTGGTGCCACACCCGGCCCCGTCGCAGGCCCGCTGCGCTTCAGGTTCCCAAACAGATGCTGGTGGCCGGAGAGGTCCACGATGCCCCACTGTGGGGCGGGGAAGGCGGCATCGAAAAGCGGGGGCGGGGGTGCCCCGAAGGCTGGGGGCAGCGGCGGGTCGGGCTTCTTGGCTTGGGCGGAGGAGGTGGAGGACGAGGAAGAGGAGGACGACGAGGAGGAGGAGGACGAAGAGGAGGAGGCTGAGGACGGGGCCTCGGCCTTGGGCTTGAAACTGGCAGGTGGCGGATAGTCGAACTGCGGCGGCGGCGGCTGCGGCGGCGGCTGCGGCGGGGGCCCCGGGGCGCAGGGCAGCGCGGCCACGGCCTTGGCGTGCTCCCCGTACAGCTCCATGGGCTCGAAGCGCTGGTGGTTGAGGAACTCCAGGAAGTCGAAGGGGTAGCTCTGGAAATGCACACCGTCCTCACCCCCCAGGCCGCTGCTCCCGCCACCCCCTGCAGGGTTCGCCTCCATCTCAGCGGCGGTGGGGGACCCTGTGAAGAGAGGAGGGGCTGAGGATGGGCGCGGTGCCCTCCCCTAACGGTCCAGCTTAGCTTGCAGCCTGGGCAGGTTACAGTGTTAACCCCTGGAGACGCGATGGCGTCTTCTCCCCACCGGAGGCACGGGAGGCCAGGAGGCTTGCTCAGGGTCACAGGGCAGCAGCCTCTTCTATTTTGGAGGTGCTGGGGGTTGAACACTGGGCTTGCACCTGTACCTCTACCACTGAGCTCCATCCCCGCCTCCCCACTTTCATTTTCAAAGGGCTCTCCCTAAGTTCCCCAGCTGGCCTGAAATCTGCAGGCTCCTGCCTCAAACCTGCAGCAGCTGGGATGACAGGCATGCATGCCACGCCTCGCTCAGAACAGGAGCTTGTAATGGAGCAACTAGCCTGTCCGGCCCGGAGCCCCTCCTGCTCCCAGCCCCCACGGGGTGTTTCGCCTCACAGAGGAAGGTGGAGATGGAGCTGGGGGCAGGAGCCTCATCTGGGAGTGCTCCCCGAGTTATGCGGGGTTCACATAGGGCCTGGAAGAAGGGGATGGTGGATACGGCCTTACAGAGCACTGCCCTGAGTTCTTCCCTCTGCTTGCAGGGTCACCCCCAGGTTGAAGGGGGCTCCCTCCCGAGCGTCCTTCGGGTCCTGACCTTGGATCCCATCACTCTCCGGCCCGCATCCAGCTGCACTGTTTTCATCAGAGTTAATCCACCACCTTTTTTGCGTTGTGGTACTGGAGCCTGAACCCTGGGCTTCACGGTGAGCTACATCACCAGCCCGCTTTTTTTTATTTTTTGAGACGGGGTCTCACTAAGTTACCCAACCTGGGCTTGAGCTTGTAGCCTCCCGGACCATACGGGGATCACGGGTGTGTGCCAGCACACCCGGCTACCACTGGCTCACCTGTCCCTGTGCTGTCTCCTGTCCGCTGTCTCTAAGAGAGCAAAGCTCTGGCCTGTCTTGCTGTGGCTCCCCCACTTTGTCCAGCGCCTGCATATACAGATGTTTGCTAAGGTGCAAGAAGTAACCACCATCTCCCTAAGCCTCCAGTGTGTCCACAGAGAAGCTGCAAGGGAAGTGAGCAAACGCCCCCTGATGGACGAGAACAAAACTGCGGCCCACGCAGTTGAGGAGGGGCCGCTAGAGCAGGGCCCGAGGCGGCATCGGCAGCTGCCAGTGCCTGCTGGCCGGTGCTGTCGGGGTGTGTGGCTGGAGGAGACTCCAGAGAACACCCCCCGCAGGGACACTGAGGGGGGCAGGGCTGACATGGGTGTCTCCCAAGAGGCTTCTGGGGGCAGTGCTGGCATGAGGAGGGCACTGAGAGAAGGGGGCCCATGCAGGAGGGGTCTGCATGGGAATTTCCACAAGAAACAGGACCTGTCCTCTTTCAGGGGCCGTGAGCCTTAGCTGCTGTCTTGCTAAGAGAAGTAGGGTCACCGAGGACTGACATAGAGCGGCACAGCCGGGAGAGAGGCGCCCCGCCCGGGGCCAGAGGAGTCCCCCAGAAAACACAGTGAAAGCTTTCACAGTTCCGCCAGCTGTCGGCCCTCTGCTCCCTGCCGTCCCCTTGTGCCCAGAGCCCTGTGCCACTCTTGGCCCTGTTTAAGTGGGGAAGCTGAAGCAGAGGGGGAGCTCACTCCCCAAGTTCGTGGGGCCATGAGGGAGAAGCAGGTGATGGATGCCGGGTGTCTGCGATGCCAGGAGCTGCGAGCTCTTTGGGGCAACAGAGCTGCCTCGTGGCATAACGAGCCTGCCGGTGACAGTAAAGACATGGAGTGTGACGTGGAGCACCCGACGCCTGCTTCCCAGCCACGTACCTAGTCCTCCCAACAACGCTGGGAATCGGTCACCATTACTGGCTCCGAAATCCAGAGGAGGGGAGGGACCTAGGGCGGGAGGGTGACTCAGCCTCCAAAGCCACACAGCAGGTGGCGGGTTCCGGAGCCCTACAACACGCTGGCTTTCTGGATTTCACGGTACAAAATAAAGCCAACCCTGCATCCATCCAACACACATGGAGCTATGACCTACAGCTCCCTGCCACCGAATCCCAAGTCTAGGTGTGACCCAGTGCCAGGACAGGCCACTGACACTTGTTGAACTCTACCAAAGGCTGTGTGGGTGCCCGAGGTGGCTTGTCACACTCAGGCCTCATCACAAACTGCGAAGTATGACCATCTGCGTTTACGGACAGGACTAGTGCCAAGCCACAGTCCACTCTGCCCACTGCCCTGCGGTGACCCTGTCTCCCTAAAGGCATACCCACAGTCCTTCCGGTGACCCACACCCCTGCAATGTGCTGGCTCCACCCCCTCCCACCTGTGTCCCAGAGCCCTTGCTCCTGCCCTGGGGTGCTCCCACACACTCCCTCCTCCTGTCTTTGCTCAAACGTCCTCTCCACGGGGCTCTCAGAACCTGTCACCTGTCCCCCAAGCCCATGCACCTTCCCTCCCTCATTCCTCTCCTTATCACTGGGCAAAGCCTAACAACTGTATATCCCATATCCTCTTGCTTTGCTGCTCTCCCTCTCCAGGGCTGAGATTTTCATGTTTGGTCCACTGCGCGGCCTCCGCGACCTGGGACGGGGCTTGACACGTGTTTGCGGGATCATCACTGAGTGAGGCTGGACACAGAGGAAGTGACTGACTGGAAGATACGAGCCCCAGTAGAACCTGGGGCTTGGGCACGGCACCCCTGGGGGGCACAGCTGTCCAGAAGGCGGGAAATTGACACTCAGAGCTAACTTTTTCTTCTGTGGTTTATTGGAGGGGCAAGAAAGAGGAGCGTGGACACGGGGCTCTGCCTACCGCGTTGTCCGCAGCATCTCCCAGGGCTCACGGAGCAGCTGCTGAACACGAGCTTATGAATAAAAGCAAAGGTGCTTGCTGGGGCAGCACAAATACTGCAACCGGAGCGCTGCAGAGATAAGCACGAATGAAGGCGAAGAACCTCTGTGCGTGGCAGAACTGACACTGGCCAGACACTCTGCCACAAGGGCCTCCCTCTGCTCATTCTCCCCTTGAACTCTGCTCCCACGTCAGCAGCCTCCGCGGCTCCTCCACCCATCCTGGTCCCTGCTGCCTCAGGGTCTTGGCACTTGTGGTGCCCATCTGTCCCTCAGTTCCCTGCATGGCTAGGTTAGCTCTCACGCAGGCTTCCCCTCTGAAGCAGCTCACCAGCCTCGCCCAGGCCCCACACAGCACAGGTTACGTTGTCTATCTGTTTACTCTTCTGACCCGCCGCCTCAACTACACTGCGAAATCCTGGAAGATGAGAGCAGCATCTCCGCTCCACAACTGTATGCCCTGGACCAGAACAGTGAATACTCACTCGGCGAACGACAAATGCCTACGAAAAAGGGTGAGCCACACACTCGGGGAGCGCAGGGGTCTCTCCTAGGAAACCCAGGTCAGGGTTAGGGAAGGGGAAGCCTGGCAGCGGGCGCTGTTCTGGGCAGCAGTACTGAAGACACAGGGCCCGGGGAGCATTTCCTAGGGCCCGGAGCCCCGCGGGCCACTCTGGGACAGGACGTGGGTACTAAGAGAGAATGACCGCTAGAGGGAGCTGCTGCACTGAGGGGTGGTGTAAAAGGGAGTGTCTTCGAGAATCGCCAAGGAGGGTGCAGGAGGGGAAAAGGTATCCCGGCGTGAACCAGAATAGAAAGCATTTTTCACCAACAGAGGGGGCGCTGGGGGCGGTTTGTGTATGGACAGATCGTGGGGGGCAGCGCGGCCGCAAAGCACTAATGCACCTCTCCCCGGAGCCATCCTTTGGGGGGACTCAGCCCCTGCAATGGGCTCAGCAGCTGCTGCCCCAGGGCAGGGAGCGATGCTGGTGCCATGTGGGGGGTTGTCCTGCACCAAGCACTGAGCGGGGATACGTGGAAGAGATCCTACGAGAAAGCGTTAGTGGGGCCCTGGCAGTTGGGGGGTCGTCACGAATGAAGGCGCTCTGCAGGCGTCCACCCTGGGGGTGCTCAGGAGCGAAGGGTGAATGGTCTTATGGGAGAGCAGTGGCTGGGGGTCCCCTGGCTAGGCCCGGCCGAGAGGCACTGGCGCTCCGGGTGGGGGTGAGGGGCGTCCTGGGGACCGCTGCAGGCCAGGGCGGGACCCCCCGCCCCCGCTGCCCTCGGGTCCCCGGGCCGCGCGCCCCGTCACTCACCGGCGCCGGGGGTCTCCGCCGGGAGGAGGCCGAGGAGGCGGAGGAGGCGCCGCCGCTCCGGGGAGACCCGAGACCCCGACCGGAAGTGCCGCCCCCTCCCCCTCCCCAGCAGCCCCGCGCCGCTCGCCCGGAAGCGGAAGTTGCTCCCGTTCCCGAGGCGCCGGCGTGGAGGATGCAGGGGCGGCGGCGGCAGCGGTGAGGGAGAGGCGAGAGGAGGAAGTGCGCCTGCCCACTGTGTCGGGCGCGCGGGCGGGGAAAGCCTAGCTGCTTCCGGTAGGCAAGCGGCGCAAGTGCGCCTGCGCTATGTGCGCCCGCTGCCTCTTTGGGCACTACCCCCCGTACTCCGGACATCCGGGGAGGCACGCCCTGGGCCCCGCCTCCAGTCACGCCCCCTTGGCTGGAGCCACGCCCACTCCGTGGATTACTCTTTGTAGGCCCCGCCCCTCTGGAAAATCTGTTCCCTTCGCCCTACCCCTGCAGTTTCTCAGGTTCTTTCCTCCGTGAGCCACCGTTCTCTGTAATTCAACCCTTCCCTCGGGCCACGCCCCTTCTCCAGCCCCGCCCGCGCGCTTCAGCTCGGCACCGTAGCACTTAAGCACCACCTCTCCTAGCTTGCGCGCTCCACCTGTTCTGCCTCGCACCTCGAAGGCAGCCCCTTACATCAGTGCCTGTCTGAGAGTAATCCAAAGCCAATCTCCACAACCCCTCTTTCAACTCAGCCCCACCCCAAGCAGCTAAGCCCCGTCCTTGAGACCCTTCTATTCCCCGGCGCTGAGCGGCAGTCCCCGTGCTTGCGCATTGCCGCCTGCGGGCCGTCTCTTCCTAGCCCCCTGGTCCTCAGCCCAGCCCCACCCATTCCCTCCAAGTGCCCTTCTGCTGCCAGTGCTGCCGCTCCTGAGCCCTGCGCAGCCCTTACCCTTTCCGAGCCACGCCCTCGTCTCGCCTAACTACCCACAAAGCTCCCCCGCTTGGCGCGGCCGGCCCACGCCGGCCTCTGTCCCCGCTGCTCACCTTCGGTTTGTTTCCGCTTTGGTGCCAGGGATGAACACCCTACCCCTGAGCTGCTCCCAGCCCCGACGCCCCGTTTCTCCTTGCAGACAGCGGGCTGTCCGAACAAGCAATGGGACAACAGTGTCGCCGTGGAGTTTCTGGGGAGAGGGCTGGGGTGCGGGGGCGCACCTTTGTGGAGCTCGCCCAGGGCTTTACACTTAGGCCGGCTATTTATTGGGAGCGCTTCGAGGTCTGCTGGGGCCGGGCTGACGAACGGCACCATCAGGAACACGTACACGGGGCCAGCAGGCAGGCTTTATTTCCACGGCCGGTGTCTCCGCGGGCCTGGGAATCCGCGGGCCGGCGCCAGGACGCAGCAGCGCGTCTAGGTCCCTGCCCTCCACCCCCTCCCACAGCGGGCGAGCCACCGGGAGCGCGGGTGCCCTGGCCTGCGGGCCCAGGTCCAGCCCCATCCCCAGCTGAGCTCCGGGCTGCGGGCCTGAACTGGGGGTCGGCGGCCAGGGTCGCGGGTCAAGCGGGCTCATTCCCCTCGGGGCCCTCCTCGTGCGCGCCCTCGGTGGCCGGGATGCCCTCATCGTCCCACGGCGGCTCTGGCCTCGGATCTGGGCGACACGCGGGCAGCCCCAGGGCCTCGGGGTGCTTGCGCTTGGAGTGGCGCCGAAGCGTGTTGGCTTCGGTGAAGCGCAGGCGGCACACGGGGCACTGGTAGGGGCGCTCGCCCGAGTGCACGCGGTGGTGGTGCGCCAGCTCGCCGGCCTCGCGGAAGCGGCGCGGGCACAGCGCGCACAGGAAGGGCCGCAGCCCTGCGTGGATGTTGCAGTGTCGCCGCAGGTGGCTGGACCGCTTGAAGGTCTTGCCACAGTCTTTGCACTCGTGTGGCTTCAGCTCCGAGTGCGAGATGCTGTGGCGCTCCAGGTCGGAGAGGTAGGGGAAGGCCCTCAGGCACACCGGGCAGAAATGCGGGGCCCTCCGGGGGCCGGAGACCTGCGGCCCGGCGGCCACCAAGCCCTCCGAGACGGTGTAGGGCACGCCCTGGTCATCGATCAGCAGGAGGTCGCTGCCGCCGCCACCGCCACTGCCGCTGTCCACCGCTGCCGGCAGCCCCTGTGCTAGCGGGAGCTCGGGCCCGGACTTGGGGGGACGGCCCCGCTTTCGGGGGAGTGAGGACTTGAGCTTCCGGTGGCAGGAGGGAGCTCCCCCGGGAGGTCGGCCCCGGCGGCCCCGGGGAACAGGAGGAAGTAAGGCCAGAGGTTTCTCTTCCTCCTCGGGCAAAGGCGAAGGCAACGGGCCTGGGCTGGGGGTGTCCATGGAGCAGTGAGGGGCTTGGGTCTGGGCACCGGATCCGGCTAAGAGGAGAGAGGGGCAGCGTCAGTGCGGGCAGGGTCGGGACGCCTGTGTCACTAGTGCCTGACCCCCCTGCTCTCCGGGCCTCTGGACCTGGGTACGAGGAACACACACGATCACAGCCCTGCCGGTGGGCAGCACAGCGAGGCGATCGGTACCAGCTGGCACACGGGACCACAGCTGTCCCTGGGCCTGCCTAGCCCTGGCCCTGCCTGAATCTAGCAGTTCAAGGTCAACAGGAGCAGAAACAAGGAAAATCAGAGGCGAAGGGAGCGTGCAGGCCTCCGAACAGCCCCTCAGACTCCGGGTGGAGCCAAGGCAGCCCTGGAAATGTTCTCGTCCCCTCCTGACGGCAGAAGCGGGGCAGTTCCAGGACTGAAGGCGGGGACAGGCCCTGGGAGGAGTTCGGCCCTAGTTCACACCTGAGGAAATGCGTGCATGTCGCGGAGAGGCCGGCCTCCAGGTAGGACATCCCGGCCTGCCACTTGTTCTCCGTGCGGCCTCGGGCAAAGTGTTCACTTCTCTGAGCTCAGTTAAATCTTTCACAGCGTGGTACCGAGTTCTCCCCAGGTGCCCAGACACGTCCCGGGAATCATCCACATACACTGTCCATGCACAGGCGGCCCAGACGTGGAGCTAAGGCCCCTGCCAGCTCTGTGAATGAGGGTACCCAGCCCCATTCTAAAAATGGGGACATCGCCGCACGGGAAAGCCAGGGTGGCTGCCGGAGTTCCTTCTGCCAGTGAGGGGCAGGGCCTTCACGCGGCCTTGCTGATCCCCGGAGCCCAGGGAAGGAGAAGGAATGGGCATAACCAGACAGGGGGCATCACGAGGGCGCTCAGGCCAGGGCTGAGTCCAGCTCCGAGGCAGTGAGCAAGCCACTCTGCCACTCCGAGCCAGTTCTCCTCTGTGAAACGGACATACGGAGGCGGTGCCCCACAGCCCGGGGCACAGTGAGTACGTCAAGAACCACCCTCACCAGCACCTTGGCAGCACGCACTAGACCAGTGATGGCGCACCTTTTAGAGACCGATGCCCAAGCTGCAACCCAAAACCCACTTATTTATTGCGAAGCGCCAACACTACAATTACACCCAAATGCTCGGCTGCTGGGGAGAGTTGGTGTGCTACAGGTTCGTCACCACTGCGCTAGACCCTGGGAACGGGGTGTACTCGGAGGGGGAGCACAGGGGCAGGCAGGGGAGGTAGTGCAGGCCCCCGCATCCCCTTTTAGACTGTGCTTTGCGTCCTGCGAGTACTTGGTGCTTCGACGCAAGGCCCCGAGCATGCTAGGGAGCGCGGCACCCCAGGCACGCACTCCCTCGCAGGGCACACAGCGAGGGCAGAGAGAAACGCCTTTTCCACGGCCATATGCTTGGCTCCCGGGGGTACGCGGAGCACAGCTGGGCCTCGGGAGCACGGAGCACCGAGAGGCCCGATCCCTCGAGGGTCCCCCACCCCCGTGCGGGCGCGCACCCGGCGGCCCCGAGCGGCGGCGCCCACG